GGAAGTCCTTATGTATATGGCCTTGTTGGTGTTGACCACGATCTTGACTTTCCTGAACCTATGCCTGTTGTTGGTAAGTATTTCTTATGGTAGGTTGTTAGTCAGTGAAATATTATTTTTTGCCTTAATTTTAACCTATTCAAGATTTCAAGTCTTCACACTTTTGTATATGAGTATTACATGACTTGATTTTTTTCTGTAAGTGCAGGGATATCTCGTTCAGCAAGGGGGTATTGCATGATATCTATTTTTGAGACTATGAAAGCATATTCGCTAGATGATGGCCTAACAGAAGAAGCGTTGGTTACTAAGCTCCGCACCCGTCGCTGTCATCATCTATTCTTACATGCATCGTTGAGGCACAATGCATCAGGTTTTGTATACTATGTAGAGTTCTAAATTGTATTAGCATCTCTAAACTGTTGAAGATAATGTGAAAGGTAGAGTCGTAGACACTGTGTGATAGGTCCAGGGACACCTAATCCTTACATGAACAAAAGTACGTCCAGGTGCTAGCATATGCTTTAGCAATCAGTATAGAGTGTCAGGAGACTGTTAGAAGACAATTCCTATTCATGATTTATGTCAGCTTAGCTTTGGAGTTTTATGGTCTTTTGTGATAACAATTGAAAATTATGCCATCCAGGGACGTGCCGCTGGGGAGAGTTTGGGGAAGGGGGTTTACTCTGGGGGGAATGCAGTGGCAAGAATTTTGAATGGTTTGAAGGAGATACCCTTTCCGAGCTCTTATCAAGGGTCATAACTTCAAACTTTGGCTGCTGATCAATTTTCAATTTGCTTGTGACATTTCAGTTTGGTGAAAAATTAAATATTTTACCTTTTTGTTCCTCGCAGGTCAAAGATGTTTATGGTCTTGACGATGAAGTTTCCTTTAGAAATGTCAATGTACCTTCCAAAAACCGGCCACGTCCGTTGCATCTTGGAACAGCTACACAGATTGGTCGGGATTATAATTCTTAATAAATAATGTTTCAATAGGAGGTTTAGGAGTTTCGGAATGATAACGCATGCTAATATATATATTTTGGTACGGCAGGTGCCTTACCTACTGAAGGAATACCTTGTTTGTTGAAGGTGTTACTTCCATCAACGTGCAGTGGCTTGCCTTCTTTGTAAGAAATTCTTATTTAAGAAGAAAGAAAATTAGTTATATTCTCCAAAGTACCCGTTTGGTTTTCAATTTTGCTATATCATAATTTTATTTGGTGGACAATCTGTGCCCTTTTCATTCGGCGCCTCTTTCGTTTCAGGTATGTGCGGGATCTTCTACTAAATCCTCCAGCTTATGATATTGCTTTGAAAATTCAAGGTATTAACCATTGTGGAGAATTTTCTTGGTTTATAACCTTCTAGATTTATATGACTTAATGTTTCTCACTCTACCTATAAAACTATTGCCGTTTGCAGAAACATGCAAGCTAATGAGCAGAGTAACATGCTCAATTCCAGAGTTTACCTGCGTCTCTTCTGCTAAGGTATTCATCTCTTACAATGGGGTTAAGAAGTACCTTTTCCTTTGTCACTATAGGAACATAATAGAATACTGCTGGTTACCAGCTATAAGTTACTGATACTAATGGATGCAGATTTCATAATTAGTTGGTCAGCTTCTAACTTCCATATTCATCCTTTTCCAGCTTGTAAAGCTACTTGAGCAACGGGAAGCCAACTACATTGAGTTCTGCCGAATAAAAAATGTTCTTGATGAAGTATTACACATGCATCAACATGCTGAGCTTGTAGAAATCCTGAAATTATTGATGGAGCCTACCTGGGTCGCTACTGGTTTGAAGATTGACTTTGAAACTTTTGTAAGTATATCTGTATATGCATAAAGCATGACTCTGAGTTTGTGTTTTTAAGTTTTGCTTTATTATCTGCTTTCCTTGATGATGAGTACCTATCCCTTAATACGAGCTCAGAGAATAAGCATTTAAGTTGAATATATTTTTTTAAAAAATCAATTTAGTTTTACCAATTTCTGGTGTCTTCAGCTGATGAGTATAAGTTGATTTTTTGGGGTTTCTGGTCACTTGCCAGGTAAATGAATGTTGCTGGGCCTCTGATACAATTGGTGAAATGATATCTCTAGATGACAATGAAAGTCATCAGAATGTAAGTAAATGCGCTAATATCCCGAAAGAGTTCTTTTATGATATGGAGTCATCATGGAGAGGTCGCGTTAAGGGAATCCATATAGAGGAAGAAATCAGTCAAGTGGAAAAATCAGCTGAGGCTTTATCCTTAGCGGTAAGTATTCAAAAATTGTAGCTTAATTCTTTTAGTGATTATAGATGGTCCTGTATATGGTATAGTTTTTGCTTGAATAAAATGGTGCTGGTGATCTTGTCTTATTCGTAAGAAACAAAACCTCCTTATGTAGGTAGCTGAGGATTTTCACCCTATTATATCAAGAATCAAGGCCATGACTGCTTCACTTGGTGGCCCTAAGGGAGAAATTGCATATGCAAGGGAGCATGAGTCTGTTTGGTTCAAGGGGAAACGGTTTACACCATCTATCTGGGGTGGTACTGCAGGGGAAGACCAAATTAAACAGCTAAAACCTGCTTTAGACTCGAAAGGGAAAAAGGTTGGAGAAGAATGGTTTACAACCCCAAAGGTGGAAGTTGCTTTAGTCAGGTTGTTTCCCTATATGAATGAACCTTTCAGTAGAAATTTTATTCAATAATACTGGGTAGATATTGATGTCATATTGTGCTTTTGTTGCAGATACCATGAAGCTAGTGAGAACGCAAAAGCCCGGGTGTTGGAGCTGTTGAGGGAGTTATCTGTTAAATTACAAACAAAAATAAATGTTCTGGTCTTTGCATCTATGCTTCTCGTCATTGCGAAAGCATTGTTTGCCCATGCTTGGTAAGTTTGTGCTTACTCTATTCACATTAAGAAATTTCTGTAGTTTTAATTTAAGTACTGTGCACAACTGCAGTGAAGGGAGAAGGCGAAAGTGGGTTTTCCCAACGCTTGTTGGATTCAGTACAGATGAGGTAATTATCCTTGCTAGTCGTTAAAGTTTGTAGACAGATACATGCAGTTTCTAAGACATCAAAACATGCTGGGTTGTCTTATCCTTATATCTCATGTTTTTCTCACCTATTTTGATATATTTAATATAGGGCGCAAATTCATTAGATGGTGCCAGTCAAATGAAGCTGACAGGCCTATCGCCTTATTGGTTTGATGTAGCTTCTGGAACTGCTGTTCGCAATACTGTTGACATGCAATCATTGTTCCTTCTAACTGGACCCAACGGTGGTGGTAAATCGAGTTTGCTCAGATCAATTTGCGCAGCTGCTCTACTTGGAATTTCCGGTTTAATGGTTCCAGCTGAGTCAGCTTGTATTCCTTACTTTGACTCCATAATGCTTCACATGAAATCGTATGACAGCCCTGTAGACGGAAAAAGTTCTTTCCAGGTAATATATGCAAGCATACAATTCCAAAATTCACCAAACTGAATTTGTCTCTTCAATTGGAATGTTTGATATTCTCTCAACTGGTTCTGTGCCATCAGGTAGAAATGTCGGAAATACGATCTATTGTAAGCCAGGCTACGTCGAGAAGCCTAGTTCTTATAGACGAGATATGCCGAGGGACGGAGACTGCAAAAGGCACCTGTATTGCTGGTAGTGTGGTAGAGTGTCTTGACACAAGTGGTTGTTTGGGTATTGTATCTACTCATCTCCATGGAATTTTCAGTTTACCTCTGACAGCCAAAAACATCACATATAAAGCAATGGGAGCCGAAAATGTCGAAGGCCAAACGAAGCCAACATGGAAATTGACAGATGGAGTCTGCCGAGAGAGTCTTGCGTTTGAAACAGCTAAGAGGGAAGGCGTTCCCGAGTCAGTAATCCAGAGAGCCGAAGCTCTTTACCTCTCGGTTTATGCAAAAGATGCATCATCTGAAGTTGTCAAACCCGACAAAATCGTAACTTCGTCCAACAATGACCAGCAGATCTGCAAACCAGTGAGCTCTGAGAGAAGTTTGGAGAAGGACTTAGCAAAAACTATCATTAAAATCTGTGGAAAAAAAATGGTTGAGCCTGAAGCACTAGAATGTCATTCAATCGGTGCTCGAGAACTTCCACCTCCATCTACAGTCGGTTCTTCATGTGTGTATGTGATGCATAGACCCGATAAGAGATTGTACATTGGACAGGTACGTACTTACCATATCAATACTAGTAAAACTTCTCTTAGAATCGACAAAAAAACCGAAAGTTATTGATTCTGAAGATATCTGTTATGAAACTGCAGACAGATGATCTTGAAGGACGAATACGTGCGCATCGAGCAAAGGAAGGGCTGCAAGGGTCAAGTTTTTTATACCTTATGGTCCAGGGAAAGAGCATGGCTTGCCAGCTAGAGACTCTTCTGATTAACCAACTACATGAACAGGGCTACTCTCTGGCTAACCTAGCCGATGGAAAGCACCGAAATTTCGGAACGTCATCAAGCTTGAGTACACCAGACGTAGTCAGTATCTCCTAGTTTGAAACACTAGCTGTAACTGTAGTTGATCTCTCTGTGCAATTTCACAAGTTAGTTTGGGTAGAATTAGAGTAGATTACACTAACAATCCATGCCGTTTTCCTTTTTTTGAGAGATTTTTCAAACGGCACGCAGTTCAGTTAAATCGGATTTAGCAATTACCAATTTTGGGGTCGTCAGGTGTAATTGTCGTTTCATGTAAAATATTTTGAACAAAAACCAGTTCTTGTGTTATCATTTTGTGTTCTCTTTTTATATGGGAGAAGAAGACTTCGTCATTCCTCAGGAATATAAACCGGACATCGGACCAGCCTTAATAACAGCTTAAATCCAATTGCAAGAGAACCGAACCGGGTTCAGAATAATTCGTGGTTATCTCTGGTATTAAAACCGAAATTTAATTAAAACTACGCCGTTTTAGTCTTTGTCATCATCCTCACCAGTTTTGTTTTTCAAAATCGATATTTTCTCTTTGCTTCTTCCTTGCCCAGAATCGAATTTTGAGATCTCCTCCGATCAGTTTTGATCTCCGACACTCTCTCGCTGGTTCAACCCATCTTCTTCGTCGATTTGGTTCTCTTCTTCAACCTTGTATCTTTGTTTCTTCAATTCTCTTATCCAAAGAGATCCGATTTCGTTCTCTCTCTTTCTCCAGTGTTCTTCTCTCTCGCTCAACCAATGTAAGTTTCGTGTCCCTTACACCGCATCATTTGAATTGGCTGTGTAGAGAGCTTTGTAGTAGATTGAATTGCAGTTTTGTGTTTTAATAATAATTTGCAGTTGAGACATGGATGAGGTTGTTGTTGAAGTGGAGAAGACGAAGAGAGAATGGGATGATGCTTATGAGAAGACGATTGAACATATCATGGCGATTCAAGAGTATGGCAAACCAAGGCGAGGAGGAGAAGGAGGAGAGGAGAAGAGGTCGCTACAGAGACTCAACGGATTGGCTCAGGATGGTCTCTCTCTTCTCAATTCCTTGCAGTTCAACTTGGATCTTCTCGCGCCTCAGCTTCCTTCTGATGATCAGGTTCAGTCCACTCTGTCACTGCTTGAAACCTGGAAGAATCAATATCACAGGTACTTGTTTGAAATTTGGCTTACTGTCTGCGTTTGGAATCTACAACATTAAGTAGAAGAATAAAGGAACCTTGCTTTTGTACAATGATGGTCGTCTTTAGGCAGTTGAGTCATTTCAATCTATGTGATAGTGGGCGTTTAACCTTGGCTTAGGGGTACACTTGAGTCCATCGTTGTAGTAGTTTGTAAGAACAAGGGGAATGTTATATAGCTTTCTCAATGCTATATGGAAGTTTTTAAAGTATGTCCTTGAGCTTCAGTTTCATCTCAGTCACTTAGACTTCGGGTAAAACAAGAGAATGAAAGTATGAGTTCAGGGAAAGGTAAAATGGGGGAAACTAATTTGAGTGTTGCTTATCCTACAATTCTGTCGAGCATTTATCAAATACAGGGTATGGATAATATTGTTCACAGTAGCAGCAAAGGTATTATTATTGTGTTTGAAAGACATCTGAGTCATTGTGTTTGTGGTCAGTTTGAGGGTAAATCTGAGAAGTGCTAATTTGCAAGCTAAGGATAACATGAGGAAAGCAGCTCAAGAAGAGGTAAAGTCTCATGGCATAAGCCTTTTTTTTTTCTCCCTCTTTTTTTACCAGCCATCTCCTTTGAAATTTGTGTATTAAGAGTGCTTACAATAATTGTAGAGAGAGCTTCTCCTCGGTGGTGGAACAGAGTCAACTGTTCTCAGACGTAAACGACAGTATGTTCTTCTTGGCTATATCTCTCCTACTAAACCTAGTCATTCAGTTGTGTTGCCTGTTGAAAATGTTTAACTCGTATTGTACTTTTTTTAATTGATAAATGCCACACTAGCAAAAGATTGTTCCGTGTTAGTTTCTAGTCAAATCTGACATTTTTGGGTTGTTTGTAGAGCAAATGCTGGCGTGACGTCGAATGCTGAAAGCATAACTGAAAGTCTCAGGCGTACAAGGCAGCTAATGGTTCAGGTCAGAAAAAAAAAAAAAGTAGTTATGAATGGATTGTGCATTTACACCTGGTTTGCATGTTTGGCTCAAGGTTATATTGTCTGATCAAATGTTCTCTCTTGACTTGTTGAATTACAGGAGGTTGAAAGAAGTACAAACACTCTCGTGACTTTTGGTATGTCATTCATAATTATTTAGTGAAAACAGGTTAAGACATCAAACTTGTATTATATTATCCATGATTACATTTGTAGATGAATCAACTGGAGTACTTAAACAAGCCGAGAGTGAATACAAAGGGCATAGGTCTCTGTTGTCGAGGACCCGAAATCTGCTTTCGACAATGCAGCGTCAAGATGTAATTGACAGGTATGTTTTAAAAAGATTAGACTCTGTTTAACCAAACCATTCTATAGGTGAATAGAAAAATAACAACTAAACTTCTTTGTTTGTTGGCACTATCAAACAGGATAATCCTCATAGTTGGATTTTCTCTCTTTGTCCTTGCTGTTGCTTACGTTGTTTCAAAACGTATCGGGATTCTGAAACTGCAACGAATGGCTACTGCTGCTATTAAATCTCAATTAGCTGGAAAAGCAGCAAATGGTGTAGGAGATGTTGTCATGCCTCCACAACAACGCATGCACGATGAACTCTGAATCTTAGATTTTTGTAACAATGTTCATGAATCTATCTATACTTTACTTTAGAATTACATTTTCTGCAGAGTAATATTTGTTTTGTTAGAAGCTCATTAAAGGTAAATATGGAATTAAAAAATAGTTTTGTTTATGTATCCAAACAATCCTTAATTTAACTAGATTAGTACCCGGGTTATGTTCGTTTAAAATAAAATTAAAATTAAAAATTTATTATAACTTATTAGAAACAAATATCCAAAGCTTTAGAAGAATTAGAGAAAAAATTAATTAGAAAAAATTGATTTCGACGTTTCTTGATAGCCTAGCCTGAGTTACTAGCCCTTGTCCCCCAAATCTTCTTCTTATATTCTAAATTCAGTTAGTGGTTTCTTGCACTCACAATAATATTGCCAAAAATAATAGAAAACTTAATTTAAAAATTATCCTTAAAACATGATTATATCATTTTCTATATAAAAAATAACTTTAAGTTTTTAATTTTTTTTTCAAATTAACATCAATCCAAAATATGATGTTAAATACAAATAAAGTCATTTGTAAAGAAGTTTATATAAACAACGCAAATCAACATAAATTTTTTTTAAAAATAATGTATTACATCGCTGAGGAAAACAGTATGAATTTTTGGAAATACAAAATATAAAAAATTACGTATTTAAAGAATACTAGTGATGGACCCGCACGTACGTGTGGGGTTATTTTTACAAAATTACGATTTTTTAAGTAGATGCTATTTTGGTAAAATTTTGTTATATTAGTTTATTTGATAAACTCTATATAGACATACAATTGTAAAATATAGATATTATATTACATAATACAATTTTAAAATTATTTAAATGAAAATGATAAATGATATTACGTGTTTATTTTTTAAACTAATCAAAACATTTCTAACTGTTTGCTTAGAGATGTTAAATCGGATTTGAGTTTGGCTTTAGTTTGTATTATTTTATGTGTAGTTTAGAATGGAAAACCCGTCCTGTCCCTTTTCGTCTCGTCCTGACCCGTCCCGTCCCACCCCGCCCCGTCCCGTCCCGTCCCACCCCGCCCCGTCCTGTCTCGTCTTCTATTTGTAGTAAAATTTCTGTCCCATAATCGTTTCTTTTTAAAACATAATCATTTGCCAATGTTTATTATAAGAAACTTGGTAAAAGATTTAGACGGGAAACCCGTATTCCTCGTTTAAATATTTATTTTTATCAAACTAATAAAAATCTAATTATCAATCTAAGTCACATGCTCCCACCATTTTTATTCATAAGGCACTCTCTGTAATCCTAACATACACAATCCTTGTTCGATTTTTAATTTTATTGATCTTTCAGTTTCATCTTTATTTCTCATTACTTTTTTCAATTCAAAGATTCATGTTTTAGCCTTTTTGTTTTCTAAAGA